CTGTAATCCCAGCACTTTGGGGGGCCAAGTTGGGAGAATCACTTGAGGCCAGTAGTTGGAGACCAGCCTGGGCAACGCAGTAGATCCCATTTCTACCAAAAGTAAAGCAAGTTATCTGGGCATGGCCGCACACACCTCTAGTCCTAATTACTTGGGAGGCTGAAGCAAGAGAATTGCTTGAGTCCAGGAGTTCAAGGCTGCAGTGAGCTATGATGGTACCACTGCACTCTAGCTGGGTGACAGAGTGAGACCCTGTCTTTGAATAATTAGTAATAATAATAAAACACACATCAAGCTGGTAACAATACTATAGTTAACTTCTAGAGAAAGAAGAAAGAGTGAAAGGTGAATGGAAAGCAAGACATATTTACTTCTTAGTCTACAGTATTCCCTGAATTTTCATAAGAACATCATGCATTTATGATTTGGGAAATTATTTAAGCAGTTTCTTATTTTATTTTATTTATTTATTTATTTAGTTTTTTGAGATGGAGTCTCGCTCTGTTGCCCAGGCTGGAGTGCAGTGGTGCGATCTCAGCTCACTACAACCACCTCCCAGGTTCAAGGGATTCTCCTGCCTCAGCCTCCTTAGTAGCTGGGATTATAGGCGCCCACCACCACACCTGGCGAAATTTTTGTATTTTTAGTAGAGATGGGGTTTCACCATGTTGGCCAGGCTGGTCTTGAATTCCTGGTCTCGGATGATCCGCCTGCCTCAGCCTCCTGTCTCAGCCTCCTGCCTCAGCCTCCCAGAATGTCGGGATTACAGGTGTGAGCCACTGCGCCAGGCCTCTCTTTTTATTTTATTTACATGCTACACAGAGATTGGACTGCCTTGGGCAAAGTTTTGTTGAGGAAAGGAAGATGAGGTGGAAGACTTTCCTTCGCCCCTGGCAAGCCACCCGTCTGCCCTGCTTTAGGCACAGCAAGCAAGGCCGTCTCTTATCACCACTGTGTCCCAGAGATGAAGCTCGAGGCCTGACACACAGTACGTGCTCAATAAAACTAGCTGAGTTAATGCGTAAGTGAGTTAATGAATGAATAGAGACAATAATGTGGGCAGGATGGATTAGAATTTGAGCCAGATTTTCCTAATTTGTTCTGGGCTGCGTCGGCAACACAACACAATGAAACAACGTTCTGGGTCTACTCTGTTATGTGGGGTCTACCCACAACTCATGGCTCAGTGAGCGAACCGCGTCCTACAGTTGGAAATTCCTCTTCCCCACCCAGTGCGTTGAGAAGCAGGGCTCAGAGACTCTCAGGTCAGAGGCACAGGCGAATCCCAGGCCTTGGAGATGACCTTGCCCAAAGACAGTTTTTATGGCAAAAGCCATCAATGATTGTCACTACGAACGACATGCCTTGTGCTGAGCAGGTTTAGTTCTAGGGAAAATGCAGCACTTGGGATTACAACTGGACTTGTGCTTTTAGGAAAAAAAGCAAACCAGAGCCTTTCAGAGAGCCAGGAAACACCCTTCCATCCGGAGTCGCTCCCGAACCACCTGCATCAGAATCACTTTGAGGTCTTCAAAAATGCAGCTCTGGGCCAGCAGAATGAGAATGGAGGAGCCACATGTCTAGCGGACTGCCCCAGGCAGGTCTCAGGCACTGAGCAGTTTGACAGCTACCAGATCAGTTTCAAACTGGCCGAGACCAATTCGCGGTTATTAAATCAATTTAGCTTTTTTATTTTTCTTTTCTTTTTTGTTTTTGTTTGTTTGTTTTGTTTTGTTTTTCTTTTTGTTTTTGTTTTTTTAAAGATGGAGTCTTGCTCTTGTCGCCCAGGCTGGCGTGCAATGGTGCGATTTCAGCTCACAGCAACTTCCGCCTCCTGGGTTCAAGCGATTCTCCCGCCTCAGCCTCCTGAGTAGCTGAGACTACAGGTGCCCACCACCATGCCCAGCTAATGTTTGTACTTTTAGTAGAGACAGAGTTTCACCTTGTTGGCCAGGCTGGTCTCAAACTCCTGACCTCAGGTAATCTGCCAGCCTCGACCTCCCAAAGTGCTGGGATTACAGGCATGAGCCACCATGGCTGACCAGCTTTTTTCTTCTTTTAATGACAGAATGAGTTGGCATAGGATGGAACAGAACAAAACAGAAGCAGACAAAACACCTGAGAATGTGTCACAGAGGTAAAGATTAACCACCCAATGGGCTCACCTTGCCCGGTGCCTGGACAGGCAAATTGCAATGGATAAAGAGTAATTCACGCAGAGCTGGCTGCGCGGGAGACCGGAGTTTTATTATTACTGAAATCAGACTCTCCCAGCATTCGGAGATCAGAGGTTTTACAGACAGGCCGGGCGTGGTGGCTCACGCCTATAATCCCAGCATTTTGGGAGGCCGAGGCAGGCGGATCATGAGGTCAGGAGATCAAGACCATCCTGGCTAACACGGTGAAACCCCGTCTCTACTAAAAATACAAAAAACTAGCCGGGCGTGGTGGCCGGTGCCTGTAGTCCCAGCTATTCAGGAGGCTGAGGCAGGAGAATGGCGTGAACCTGGGAGGCAGAGCTTGCAGTGAGCCGAGATTGCGCCACTGCACTCCAGCTTGGGATAGAGAGAGTGAGACTCCGTCTCAAAAATAAATAAATAAATAAAATAAAAATGAAATAAAATAAAGATAATTTGGCGGGTAGAGGCTTGGGAAATGGGGAGTGCTGATTGGCCAGACTGGAGATGGAATCAGGGGTTTGAAGTGAGTTTTTCTTGCTGTCTTCTGTTCCCGGGTGGGATGGCAGAACTGGTTGAGCCAGATGACCGGTCGGGGTGGCATTAGCTGGCACATCAGAACGCAGGGGCTGCAGAATACCTCAGCACTGGTCTCAGGTTTTACAACAGTGGTGTGATTCCTAGGTGCAATCTGGGGAGGTTGAGACTCCTGGAGCCAGAGGCTGCATGACCCCTAAATTGTAACTTCTAATCTCGTAGCTAATTTGTTAGTCCTGCAAAGGCAGTCTGGTCCCTAGGCAAGAAGGGGGTCTTTTCCGGAAAGGGCTATTATCAATTTTGTGTCAGAGTCAAACCATGAACTGAATTGTGTCCCAAAGTTCGTTGGGCCCACGCGCAGGAATGAACAAGGACAGCTTAAAGGTTGGAAGCAAGATGGAGTCAGTCAGGTCTGATTTCTCTCACTGTCGTCATTTCCTGAGTTATAATTTTGCAAAGGTGGTTTCAAAGGTAGGTATTGTTTGGTGAAACTTTGGTTTCAGCCTTACATATGCAAAGCTGAGATTCAGCTGGTGCTCAGCCTTACAGTCCTACTGGTTATCAAAATGCATTTTTACAGGTTGTTAGACAGCTGCTGACCACCTGCTGCCCCCCCTACTGCCTTGGGGCACCCCTCCCCAAACTCTCATGTTGATTCTGGCGCAGCAGGGGACTTCCAGGACGCAGCTCAGCTTTGAGACCAGATCTGATGGCTCAGCCTCCTGGCCTTCCCAGATGTTAAATATTTTGGCTCGCACCCCCGTGCACGTCGGTGTGTGTAATGGATTGGAATGTTAAAATGGATTGAGATTATGTATAAGGTTTGAAAATGTTGTCAAGGGGCAAGGTCTCTCAGGGGGCGGTGTGGGTTAGGGGTGGGTGCGCTGGCTGTGGGAGAGGGAGTTGACCCCCTGGGCTGGCTCTCACAGGGCAAAGTAAACACACAGAGGCCTTTGCTTCCTTCCCACGGATTCAATCTGAAAACAAACAGTGCGAGGTGAGTAAATATACACGCTGAGCCCCACACCGGAAGGTGAGGGGGCGAGGACAGCAGATCAGAGGAGATGATCATGACCTTGCAGCTGAGGTCCAGCTTCTGGCTAACATCCAGAGATGATCCAGAGACGTCTGGGCTTGGGAGGAATCCTGCTTAACAGCAGAAGGAAGAGACAAGCTGCTGCCTTTATCCACTAAATCAGCATGATCAACATCCAGTAATGACGAAAATGTAAATCGACCAGCTCTTTAAGCACTAAATAAGAAGCAAATTCTGGCCAGGTGCGGTGGCTCACATCTGTAATTCCAGCACTTTGGGAGGCCGAGGTGGGAGGACTGCTCAAGCCCAGGGCTTTAAGATCAGCCTGGGCAACACAGTGAGACCTCATCATATATATATATATATATGAGGCAGGGGAGGCATGATGGCTCACATCTGTAATTCCAGCACTTTGGGAGGCCAAGGTGGGAGGACTGCTCAAGCCCAGGGCTTTAAGATCAGCCTGGGCAACACAGTGAGACCTCATCTCTACAAAAAAAAAAAAATATATATATATATATATATGTGTGTGTGTGTATATATATAAAAATGAGGCAGGGGAGGCACAGTGGCTGATACCTGTAATCCCAGCACTTTGGGAGGCCAAGGTGTGATGATCACCTCAGGTCAGGAGTTCAAGACCAGCCTGGTCAACTTGGTGAAACCCTGTCTCTACTAAAAATACAAATATTACCTAGGCATGATGGCGCACACCTGTAGTCCCAGCTACTCAGAGGCTGAGGCACAATCATCACTTGAACCCGGGAGATGGAGGGTGCAGTGAGCTGAGATCACACCACTGAACTCCAGCCTGGGTGACAAAGTGAGACTCTGTCTCAAAAAAAAAAAAAGAGGCAGGAGGATCACTTGAGCCCAAGAGGTCAAGGCTACAGTGAGCCAAGATCACGCCACTGCACTACTTCTGCCTGGGTGACAGCAAAAGACCCTGCCTCAAAAAAAAAAGAAGCAAATTCTGTTGTTTGAAATAAGATTAAACAACAACCAGTAATTTCATGAATTCCAAGTGGCGAGTATCATTCAACCCTTAGACCTAGAAAAAATCCATTTGCTACAATGTTGCCAGCCTTGTGTCTTGCCATAATTTTTCAGGAATAATTTTTAGTGTAAGTATATTCCATGCAATATATGGGACATACTTATACTAAAAAATTATTTGTTCCCTGAAATGTTTAAATGGGATATACTTATGTTACACAATTATTTGTTGTTCCTCTGAAATTCAAATTTACCTGGGCATCCTGTATTTTAATTTACTAAATCCACACAGTCCTAGGAAGCAGAATCTGCAGGAAAAACAGGAGAGAGGAGCTTATTTTCTATGTTGGATTTTTTTACATTGTTCAAATTATCAAACATTAAAAATTTTAGTGGGTTTTAAAAAATAGAAACAGGGCCAGGCATGGTGGCTCATACCTGTAATCCCAGCACTTAGGGAGGCTGAGGCGGCCAGATTGCTTAAGTCCAGGTGTTTTGAGATCAGGCTGGGCAACATGGTGAAATCCTGTCTCTACAAAAAAAAAAAAAAAAAATTAAAACAATTAGCCAGATATGGCAGCACGCACTTATAGCCCCAACTACTCTGGAGGCTGAGGTGGGAGAATCACTCGAGCTTGGGAGGCAGAGGTTGCAGTGAGCCACAATCACACCGCTGCACCCTAGCCTGGGCCACAGAGCAAGACCCTGTCTCAACAACAACAAAATGTAAACAGGGATTATGGGAGGTATGGACCATTTTTGTTTATTTTGTTTTCTTCTTTGTTCTTTGTAATTTATAAAAATCTCTTGGCCAGGAGCGGTGGCTCATGCCTGTAATCCCAGCACATTGGGAGGCTGAGGCGGGCGGATCACCTGAGGTTGGGAGTTACAGACCAGCCTGACCAACATGGAGAAACCCCGTCTCTACTAAAAGTACAAAATTAGCAGGGGCATGGTGGTGCATGCCTGTAATCCCAGCTACTGGGGAGACTGAGGCGGGACAATCGCTTGAACCAGGGAGGCGGAGGTTGCGGTGAGCCGAGATTGCGCCATTGCACTCCAGCCTGGGCGACAAGAGCGAAACTCTGTCTCAAACAAACAAACACACAAAAAGCTCTTAAATGTTATGTGCATATTTTTAAAGTTTTAACAGTTCAGCCCAATGTCAGTAGAAAAGAAAGACAATAAAGAAGCACTTTCCAGGCTGATGGGCAGAGAGAAGAAAGGGTTAAAGTCTTATATGAAAAATGACCTGAAAATGAAGGCCCTTTGAATAGTCAATGAATTGAAAGAAAATCCCAGAGATGGAAGCCAAGCCAAACACGGCAAGAGAGAAGTGGAAACAGAGGGGAGTACTTGTCAGGTGGCCCGCGCGCTGACTCCACGTTTCACTTTAACCAGCCCCGAATGCTCCCAGGTTGTTGGGGTTTTGTTAAAATTACTCTTGTGCCACAAATGAAATTCCTCTCTTTTTCAAAGTAGAAATCATAAGATGTGCTCTCATTCCTATCATTCTGGTTTCAAACTATTATTGCACAATTAATCTTAATTATTAATATTATCTTAATATTAATCTTAATATTACTTATTAATCTTAACTATTAATCTTAATAATTAATCTTCAGAATAGCGACAATAGTGAATCATTGACACTTTTAGTGACTGTGTAATCCGTACATTTATGAATTTAAAAAAATTTATTTTTGAGACAGGGTCTCACTCCAAGTTACCCAGGCTGGAGTGCAGTGGCACAGTCACAGCCTCAACTTCCTGGGCTCAGGTGATCCTCCCACTTCAGCCTCCTGAGTAGCTGGGACTACAGGCGCGCACCATCACGCCCGACTAATTTTTTGTATTTTTGTATTTTTAGCAGAGATGGGGTCTCACTATTTTGCCCAGACTGGTCTGGAACTCCTGGGCTCAAGTGATCCTCCTGCCTCAGCCTCTCCAAAGTGCTAGGATTACAAGCGTGAGCCACCACACTCAGCATGGTTCACACTTCTACTGCGTTCCCTGTAGCTCGGAACATGGCACAGATCCTGGAGACCTCCTGGGGCCAGTGCTGAGACCCAGCAATGAAGAGGTGGAGAGCCTGCTTCAAACCACAGACAGGGCTGGGCATGCCCAGCTTGCCTCTCTTCAGTACCAGATCGGTCTCTGGCTCCATCAGCAAACTACAGGCATCTGAAAAAGGGAAGAAAGTTGCCTCCGGGTTGACATACCCAAGGTAGATAAGAAGTACTACACAGGCTAAAACGCCCAGATCCTGAAGCCAGGCTTCCTGGTCCACATCCTGCACCACCATGACTGGCCCCGTGACCTCGGGGCGATGAAATTAATAGCACCTGTCTCATAGGGCAATGGATTAATCCACGGGGAGCTATTAGGACAAGGGTGTGTTCTGGGTGCCGGATAAACGTTAGCTGTTCCTATTGAAGCCAAACAGGCCATCTTCTTTGGCAATCCTCAACAGAAAAAGTCAGAGGAAAATTGGAATATTTTCCACACTGGGCTCGGCAGAGCAGCACTTCTCGTCCCGCCAACACTGCAGCACAAGGAGGCTGCTTGAGGAATACGTGCCATTTCCTTTGATTTGATCATGCATGGCCCTCGGTCACCTTCCACTTCTTATTCATTTGGTAACTAGGAGGCTTCCATCCACCTTTGGGAGACAAGTGAAGGGGTAGGAAAGAGACAGCTGCGACCAGTTTCTGCCGTGCAGCTACTGGGGAAGCAGAAAGGCCAAGCTGACCGTCGTTTGGTTTCCTCTTATGACTTACACCAGGTGCTAAATGAAAACATCGGACAAACATGGCCAGAACCACGTGTTCTTAAGAAGGGGTTAAGGAAGGGTGGCGTGGCTAAGATGTGGAGTAGTTTTACCCAACATATGGCAGATTTCAAAGGTCCCAGATGTAGTCAGAGAAGTGAACACCAGACATCCATGTAATGGGTGATTCCAAGATGAGGCTCTCAAGCCTAAGGCACCAGGTTCTAATCTTGATTCTCCCACTTTCCAGTTATGTGATGTTGGCACCCATATTTATCCTCTACAACAGCCCTGTCCCAGAGAACTCTGCAGGGAAGGAAACGACCAGTGCCTGTGCTGTCCAGTATGGTAGCCACCAGCCACATGTGTATGGCTTAAGATGTTGTCTAATGCCACAGTTTGATGAACTCGTCTTCATTAATCAATGTATTTACACGTTAATGGTCACATATGGCTCAGGGTTACCATATTGACCAACACTGCTCTATAAGCTTCTGTTTTTCCTCATCGGTAAAATGAGGAGAGTCACGGTATCTACTTCATCGAGTTAGATGAGAAGAGTAGGTACCGGGCCAAGCTACTGGTGGGTACTTAATACATGCCATCATCAAGGGTAATGGTATTCGATACACGATAGTTTCTCTCCTCCCTGCCCACATCTTCCTGCTTCTCCTGCGTCCAGCTCACTCCATATCTTTGGGATTCACCCTGTGGTAGGCAGAATACTGGTCCTACGCCAAAGATATCCATGTCCTAATTCTGGGAAGCTGCAAACAGGTTACATGGCAAGGGGCAATTAAGGTTACATATGAAATTAAGGTTGTCAATCAGTGGACTTTAAAGTAAGGAGATTGGCCAGGTGCGGTGGCTCACACCTGTAATCCCAGCACTTTGGGAGGCCAAGGCAGGTGGACCACTTGAACCCAGGAGTTTGAGACCAGCCTGGGCAACATGGAGAGACCTCATCTCAACTAAAAATACAAAAATTAGCCAGGCATGGGGGCACACGCCTGTAGTTCCAGCTATTTGGGAGGCTGAGGTGATAGGATCACCTAAGCCTGGGAAGTCGAGGCTGCAGTGAGCCCCGATCATGCCGCTGCACTCCAGCCTGGGTGACAGAGGGAGAACCTGTCTCAAATAATAATAATAATAATAATAATAATATTCTGGAGTATGCAGGTGAACCCAACGTAGTCACAAGAGTCCCTAAAAGACGGATGAGGGAGGCAGAAGAGAAGCTCAAAGTGATGTGGCATCAGAAAGACTCAAATGGGGGAGGGGGCCACGAGTTGAGGAATGCCTGTGGCTTCGACAAGGGGGAAGAGGCAAGAAATAGGTCCTCCTCGGGGCTTCCAAGGGGAACACAGCCCTGCTGACTCCTTGACTTTAGCCCATGAGGCCCGTTTCAGAGCTCAGACCTCAGACCTCCAGCACTCTGAGATAATAAATGAGTGTTGTCCGAAGCCACTAAGCTTGTGGTGATTTATTACAGCAGAAGCAGGAAACCAGCACAAGCCCTGTCTTGCTGATACTGAGAAACCCTTGCCCGTCGGGCCCCGGTGAACTCCAGCCGTGCATGCTTTGTATTTGACTGGTCAATGCCATGGTTAATAGCAAACCTATAAATCAAAAAGCCTGCAAGACTTATTCAAAGTATCTTTTCTGCAAAGGAAAAAAAGAAAGGATCTGTGTTCCATTCTATTTTCAAAGTCCTATTTATATGTTTCAATTCAGTTCTTCTCTAAATGGTGCAGAGCAAATGATAGTCCTCAGTGAGCACCCTCGAGAGGACTCTGGGGTTACAATGAAAATAAACTGACAGTGGGCGTATATTTTTCCTTGCAGTGGTGTGTCTCTTTCATTGCCAAACTGCTCTCCCTTTCTGAGCCACCCCTCTAAGGAAATAAGGCCACTTTGCGGGATCTTGGCTGCCCAAAAATGAGATCCTCAGGATGACAAGCGAGGTGGTGGTGTTTGTAGCCAGCCCTAGGGAACCTGGCCGGCCTCTGGGGAAGAGGAGGTCAAACCCACGCAGACGTTCCAGTTTCATGCCTCTCCCCACTCACACACATCCCATAGCACAGAGGCCTCTCTTGGTCACCCACACTCTTGTCTCTCTCCCCAGAAGCGCACCCTGGCTTACAAAAAAACAGGGAAGCAACTTTTATGCCAGAGTCTGGTTGGTCTGATCAAAGATGTTGATGCAAACTTTTCCAGCAAAGAGAAATAATACTGCAGGCTTCTCTGAGTCAGCCTAATTTCTAATGTTAGGCTAGAAAGGAGAAATAGGTCCACAATCCCTTATCCATATCCACAAATCCAGAATCAAGAAAGGTCTCAGGCCGGGCGCGGTGGCTCACGCCTATAATCCCAGCATTTGGGAGGCCGAGGCTGGTGGATCGCCTGAGGTCAGGAGTTCGAGACCAGCCTGGCCAACATGATGAAACCCCGTCTCTACTAAAAATACAAAAAATTAGCCAGGTGTGGTGGTGCGTGCCTGTAATCCCAGCTACGCGGGAGGCTGAGACAGGAGAATCGCTTGAACCTGGGAGGTGGAGGTTGCAGTGAGCCGAGATGACGCCACCGCACTCCAGCCTGGGCGACAGAGTGAAATTCCATCTCCAAAAAAAAAAAAAAAAAAAACAAGAAAGAAAAGAAAAAACAGAAAGATCTTAAAACCACAAGTTTTCTTATAAA